AACAACAACAACAACAACAACAACAACATGACTGGAATCTTCCTCCAGTCCATAAAATACTGGAACTGCATGGAGATAAGGCTAGTTATGTAGCATATACTCCAGGAGTTGTTCTTCAAAGGATAGGTCTTGGTTGAATACTGGGGGCTGGGGTTGTTGTTGGTGCTGTCTGGCACAAATGCCCCATAAAAAACATGACTGGAAGATACGGTACTTCCAGACAAACATGGTATGGATCCACCACCAGCTAGGGCAAACTACAACTAGCTAGGGACAGGGGATGAATGATATCAATTTAAGACGTAATAGTCTTGGTTAGATTGCCTGAATGGAGCCAGAGAGGTGGGTTTTCCCCTTCAGAAGGGGATGTCACCATGGTGGTTTGGATGCCAGAAGGCCTTGGTCAGGTATGTACTATGTAGGAATTGGTAGTAAATCTATGTGATAATTTTCAGAGCTGAAGTGGTGTAGTTTCATGCGTTTGAAAAAAACTGTTTTGAAATTTATGGTGTTGGTGGTGATAGACGAGCTACCACAACTACATGACTACAACTGCTTCTTTTGGGGTTCTCTTACAATTACTACCGAGCCAAACCAAATCCACACCAGTAAACATCGCATAATTAGTATTGTTGTGACAGAAGAAGGAATCACAGCATAAAAACCGCATAACAAAAGTCGTGGTAATATAGCCCTATTGATTTTATGAGTGTATAAAAAGTAGCTTTCATTAATGATTGATGCCAAAACGCGGCCGTTTTGTGGCAGCCACGCTCGTTGCGTCGATCGCTGACCATGCTCCCCTTTTGTTTGGGAAAGCAGTGCTTCCGAGCGGTTCCCACGTTTGAACCCTCTGGTGGCGCCGGAGCAAAAATTTTCCAACGGCGTGTTCGGCTCGCCTCCAGTGTTCCACTCCAATGTCATTCTTTAGACAGTGCTGGATGCTGCGCGTCAGGCTGCGGTGCCCTTCGCCGGCGTCCGAGCCGTTTCGGTGCCGCTGAACGCACGCTTTGATCAGCGAGTGGGCCTTGTGGTAGAGCACCGGGTTTGATCTCTCGAGGCGCTGCATCAGGACGCTGATAATGATCCAGATTCTCTTCTTTCGGGTCCCCATTTCCTTTTTCTTCATCACCGACGCATTGCTGATCGCAGTCGTTCCCCTTTCCGCCATTACCGGAAACGGCAGCGGCGAATGTAATGGCAGCTTATCTTTTTCCGCACAATATATTATTGGCGATGGATGGGGCGCAAACCGGCGATCCGTTATCGGTCCGGCCTTGGCAGCATCTCTCGCACGGCAACGCTTGCTCCTCGAATCCAGTATTGCTCTCGACAGGTGTTTTCGTGCTTCGCTCCAATACCGCGGCCCCACGGCGTTTTTCAGCGGGGAACGCAGGCTTTCGGTGACGCTGTCGATTTCTCCCCGCTCCTTTTGTTGCTCGAAATCCAAGATGACTTCCTTGACGTTCCGAAACTTGTCCTTGTCTTTTCCCTCGATTATTTTGAGTAGTATCTTCACGAAACTGGAAAAGGCTTTCTTTTTCTTTAGTTTCCTAGTGTGTTCTTCTCTCGTATTCGAGATTCGCGTTGTGCTAATGGACCATTGCGTGTCGGAAGAATCAATAGTGGCCCTGTACGGACCCTGATTGCCGTTGTACACGGAACAAAGTGTAGATGTAGACACACAAATGTCGTCAAGATCTATAGAAGAAACGAAAAAATCCGATTCGTCACAGCTATCGGTATCGTAACGAACAGAGTCTCTCGAGAAAATTGCATTCCATGATGTCATTGGGACAAAATTCCAATAGAGTGCAGTGAATTTGTATCGACCGGTTGGTTCTTCGTTCCTCTTGGGTTAGGGTCTCTTGTAGTTTCGAGGAGTAGGTTGTGTGCCGAATAGATAGATGTTCGATCTTTGATCCCGGCTTGTAGGGTATGTTGTGCTAATGCAATAGCATTGAAACTTAGGAAGCATCGATCGATCGTTGGTGCGGGTCGTACATTCTGTTTCTCGTGAAAGGGCGGCTCTTGCATGTAGTGTGCTAGATGTACTAGATCATTCGCGATGTTTTGGGTTTTATTCGTACCGGTGTGCATCACGTTCGGAACACCATCGAAGCGCGATGTGTGGTTTTGGCACGGTTCCTTTCTGCGCAAGTGGATTCAGGGCAATATGTGCAAGACAATGGCTCGATAGAACCAGAGAAGCCACTGGGGGCCGTGCATGCTCCCAAAAACAGGTTTCTGTGCGTCGAGCCGGTCTTGCCAAATTTCGTTAGGACAGGCTGATTTTTGATTTTTACGACTGCTCCGAGAACCCTCAGCCCGAACCAACTCTTGAAACTTGTTTTGAAACTAAGATAGTCCATACTGTATCCGATCTATGTTGCAGTTCCTAAGGTCCGTACGTACGTACTACCGGCCTCCGTAGTCGTTGCCGTACCACGAGTACGAGTACGTACCGGTACTTACCGATATGTTGAAGGATTGCCGAGAACCTCCACAAGAAGAGGCATCTGTTTTGGTGAAAGATCCCGAAAAAACGATCCTCTACTGCCACAACGACCGAAACGAGGGAAACGCTCTGTGAGCCCCAAAACTAAAACCAAAAAAGGCAAACCAAACCAAACCAAACCAAATCCAATCAGAATCAAGACCACCATGGCGAGACCTAAGAGAACGGTCGGACGGGCCACGGCGGGATTCATCGCCGCGGTGTTTCTATCGGGTGCCGGAAGCCTGCGGCACGCCAGCGCGTTCGTCGGCCCCACCCATCGGCCGGTGGCGGCGACCCCGAGGCACATGTTCGACTTCTTCAAGAAGGACGATCCGGAGCCCTCCCCGGACCCGAGCGGCGCCTCGCCTTCCGAAGACGAGGAGCCAGACGACTTTTCCGACGACCCCGTCGACAAGATCTTCTCCGTCTTCTTTGGCAAGAAGGAGGCGACCCCCATGGGAATGAAGCGCTTCGGCCGGGAGCGGTTTCCGGAGCAGTACCCGGCGGTCCTCGACGAGTGGGCGGAGCCGGTCGCTTCCGATGACAAGGACATGGCGGTCCTCCGGCCGATGCTGAAAAACACCAACCTCGAAACCCGCGGCCTGAAGCTGACCTACTCGGCCAACCGGGACGGCTGGGACCCCGTCTCCTTCCACCGAAAGGTGGACAAACTCGGCGGGGGCCTGGTGGTCTGCACCACGGAAGACGGCCTCGTCTGCGGGGGCTACAACCCCAAGGGATGGGTCGGCTACGGGGAGGCCCGGGGGTCGATCGCGGCGTTTCTGTACGTCTTTACGAAGGGGACGTCGGAGCTCCCGACCAAGCTGCGAAAGGTCGGGGGCCCGAGCCTCGCGCAGCAGGACCTGCCAGGTACGAACGAGCGAGAGCGAGCAAGTGCACGAGAGAGCGGGCTGCGCCCGTGGGGGGGAAGCCCGCGCCAAGAATCGTCGCGTCTGTTGTTGCCCGCTCACCGTCCCTTGTTTTCTGTTTGTGCGGCTGTGCTTTTGTTACTGGCATTGCTGTGCCGCCCGTTCCCCGAACACTTTGTTTCACGCAGAGACCGGCCCCTCGTTCGGGGCCGACAGCCTCGTGATCCCCCTGGAAAAGTCCAGCCCGAGGGTGGCGAGGAGCAAGCTCGGGAGCTACTACGAACGATTCCCCGGGGGCGGAAACACGCTGTTTGGAAAACGCGGGTCGAGCGTCCGATTGAAGGATTTGAAGGTATACCACGGCGTTTACGCGGAAGGAGAATACATTCCCTTTACGGATGCCGAACCGTTTGCATTATATTAAGAAAAAAACTAGCTTTGCCCGGCGTTTTGCCTCTTGGACCACGCGTTGTAGATCGTGTCGTGTCGTGTCGTGTCGTTTTGTTGTCGTTCGCCTCAGCCCTGCTGCGGCCGCCAGCGGAGCTTGTCGTCGCCGCTGAGGGGGAGCTTGTGCTCCTCCCCGTCGTCGAAGCGGATCGTGAGGAGCATCTCGTCCCCGATCGTGACCGGGTCGTCCACCACCACCCCGGGGCACCACTCCCACTCCTCGTTCCAGAAGTACTCGATCCGGGTCCCCTTGCGGATCTGCCTCGCCCAGGGGGGAAGCTGTGGCTTGCCGACCTTGAGGTCCTTCTCGCTCTCGTCGGATTCGTCGGTGATGGAGGAGGCCAGCTTGCGGGCCCGGGCCATCCCGACGACCTCCCGGAGCTCCCCCAGGACGATCCGCAGCCGCTCCTCGCTGTCGCGGGTGAGGAGGATCTCCCTGCGAACGGCATTGGAGAGGTCGGCCAGCTCCGCCGCCATGATGGCCACCGCCTCCCGGCGCTGGTGGGGCTCGATGTCGTCCACCAGGCTGGACTGGAAGACCTGCCAGACGGCGGACATCTCCTCGGCGTGGGCCATCTCGATGGCGGCGAGCCGGAGGGTCTCCTTCCCGCCCCCCTGGGCCTCGAGGATGGACTTCTCGAGCGGGCCCAGCTTGGTCTTTTGCGCCGCGTCTTCCAGGCGCTGGGAGAGCAGGGCCTGGACGTTCCGCATCGTTTGGTGGATGAGCTCGGGGGTTTCCATGCCCCCGAGGCCGTCGTCGTCATCGTTCTCGTCGTCGTTCTCGTCGTCGTTCTCGAATCCACCGACGGCGGAAAACATGTCGCTGTCGCCCTCGTCGGCGTCGTCCCCGATCTCGTCGACGATCGCGACCGGAAAGGGGATGGAGCGGACGACCTCCCGGACCACGAACCTCCATCCCCCCCGGCAGAGCAGCGTGTTAGAGGCCGGGGTCAGGTTGTCGTCGTTGTCCTTGCGCTCGGACGGGGGGGCCCCGGCGGGATCCTCCCCACCCGGGGACTCCGAAAAGGCCTTTTCGAGCCTGGCCATCTCGTCCTCGATCGCCCCGCCGATGCCCGGGATGCCGCCCCCGAGAAGCTCGGCGGTGGGGGCGTTGACCAGGATCTCGGCCGTGCAGCCGATCGCCCCCACCAGAGAGGGGCTTTCGGCGTCCTTCCAGACCAGGTGCCCGTAGAAGGGCCTGGGCAGCGCCGAGAGGGGCAGCGACGGGGATTCGATCGCAGCGGCCTCCGCCATGGAGATGGCCTCCTCCAGGATCGTCTTGTGCAGGGGCGTGTCCATCTGCATGCCGTAGAGAAAGGGGGTGGCGAGCTGGTCCGGGAGGTCCGACGACGGGAGGGGTACGACGAAGCGGGGGGGGGCTTGTTCGCTCGCGGCGGCGTCCGCTCCGCTTCGGCGCTCGTCGTCGCCGCCGTCTTCGCTGGTCCGATCGATCAGGTCGAGCAGGGGGATCTCGACGCCCGTGCGGAGGGCGTGGAGGGGAACCCCGCAAACGCCAGAGCGGGCGCTTCCGCCTTTCACCGGGGGCAGCGACCGGAGGGCCAGGCCGGACCGGGGGCAACCGGAAGCGGCGGCAACGACGCCCAGCACCGAGAGGCGCTTCAGCCGGTGCGGCGGTTTCCCCGCTGGGGAACGCGCCGTCGTCATGGTGTCGGCCGTGTTGCGGTCTGGTGTGGGGTTTGTGTGGGGTATCGGGTATACAGCAAAAGAAACGGGGAAGCGGGGGGTAGCTACCGATTCGGAACTTGGATCGCTATCGCTATCGCTATCGCTGTCGCTATTGCCGGGGATCGTGGTCCGCGTTGCGGTTTTCAAAAAAATGATTGGAAAACAGAGGCGGAAGGGAACCCAAAAAATGAAGAACACCACCGTTTCGGGATGGCACCAAGGCCGAGCAGGTACCTGACACGGGACTTCGTCGCTGCGAGTATTGTACGAGTAGTACGAGTACGAGTACTGGTAGTACAACTCGTAGGATCCCCGAGAGTGTTGCGGTTTTTGGGTTTTCGTTCCGATGCGGCGCGGTGCGATGGACGATGATGTCACCCACGTCCAGCTGTGACGGCTACAAATCGCGCGGAGCTTGTGCGCGCATCGAGAAGAGGAGAAAGAACACCGCCGTGACTGCACTGACGGCCATCTTGTGCGATGCCGTGCAGTACGTACTTGTATTGGTACCGGCCGGTACGTACGTACTGTATCGTACGGCAGCCTACCCGTAGCGTAGGTTCCTACGGTACGGTTCGTACATCATCCGAAGCTGATGTGCGATGTGTGATGTTTAGTGATGTTGCTGCTGTTGGCAACAGAAATTTTTTTTTCGAACATACCTACCGTACGAACAACACCGTATCAGGATAGGAGTCAGGAGTGGGTACGGTAGAAGTAGAAGTCCTAGTAATAAAATAGTAGCAGTACGATAGTACAGTACAGTACAGTACCTTACCGTACTTTGATGCCTCCCCGTTTGAGATTTTTGATTGGCCCGCTTCTGAAAATACAAAACACTGCATTTCTAGGACTGTAAGTGTAGACTGGGCTTGAGGTACGGTACGTAGCGTAGAATGCCTTACATACGGCTACGACCGTAGCCAAACAACATTCGGATTTTTTGGGTCTTATTTCTTGATTTGATAGGCGGTGATCGTCGTCGATGATGAGGATTCGTGATGAGTTGTCGGGTTTCGAAGAAGTCTGCGGTTTTTGTGCTGCTCGTACGAGTGCTACTCGTAGCATACCGTAGCGCGGGTACGTACGAGTAGTATGTAATGTACAGTACTTTACATACCACAATACGCAGCTGTTGAACCGGCGGCATTATTCTTTCTCCCGGCACTCCCTTTCCACAAAACATTCGACGAAGGCTTGCGGCAGAGCACCCGAAACAAACTACCACAACCACAAACACCACAAATTCGTCCCTGGAAACCTCCACCGGCGACTGGACCAACCAAGGCACGCTCCGCAACCAACAGACCACCAAAAGCAAGACCAACCCCGGCCTCCACCATGAAAACGGCCGCCCTCGCCCTGGCAGCAACAGCCCTCGCCCTGTTTCCGGCCGCGGTGGCGTACGTCTCCCCGCCGCGGCAGCCCTCCCGCCACTCCCGGAGCTTTCCCCCGGGCCTGGCGTACGCCCCCGATCCCGAAACCGGCGGGCGGATCGCCGGTACCACGCCGGAGGGCTTTGCCTCCCCGGTCCTCATCCAGAACCATCGGGCCCTCCTGGCCTGGAAGGAAACCTACGGCCACCCGAACATCCCCCTCAAGAACGAGGGGGGGTCCGCCTGCGAGGTCCTCCGGCGGCTCCACAACCAGAAGAAGCTGAACGGGGCGGAGGTCGCCTGGCTCGAGGGGATCGGCTTTCGCTTCCATTCCATCGAGGACGTCTACCGGTTCGCGGACTTTGGCGAGATGCTGGCCCGTCTCATGGCCTACGAGGAGGCCCGGCCGGGAAACAACTTCCAGGTCCCCAAGAAGTGCCCCGAGGACCCGGAGCTCGGGGCCTGGGTCACGGGGATCCGCCGCCTCGGCCGGGAGGGCGTCCACCCGGACCACGAGCGCCGCCTCTGCGACCTGGGCTTTGCCTGGGTCTCGACCCGCAAGTGCGGCTCCAAGTTCATGCTGAAGTACCGGGAGCTCTCGGAGCGGGCGGCCTCCGGCGAGGACGTCCTGGCCGACACCAAAACGACCGACTGGATCAGAGCGCAGCAGCAGGCCCTCCGGCAGGGCAAGCTCAGCCAGACGAGGGTCCAGTACATGGGGCAGCTCTTTGGAGACACCTGGACGACCCTCGGGAGGGAGGCCGGTGGCGGGAGCAGCAGCGGGCGGTGACGGCACCCAATCAATCAATCCATCACCCTGCAACTCCTTCCATCGCTGCATCCCTCCACCCCTGTCCTGGTAACTTTTGGAAGCACCGGGCACGGCTGGTTTCGTTGGGCGACTAGATTCCGGTCGTATGGCTCGCGGGAGCGGCGAGACGCACACACACACACACAATAGCCGACAAGGACACGGACACAAACGCCAGGAATTTACAAGAGTACTTATTACAATACCGACGCGGTTCGGTTCGGTCCGGTCCGGTTCGTTTTGAACCTCGGCTGCGCCACGGGCACAGAACTTGGTGCAAACCCCGTCGCTCCAGCCGTGGGTTGCTTCGAGATCATGCACGACGCAATCCGCCAAATTTGATAAAAAAATAGTAGTACGCAGTATTCTCAGTTGTTGGATTCTTTTGTAGAAGCACAGTAGTAGCTAGCGCGTGGGCTCGTGTTGGACGCCGAGACGCGGGGGCGGGAAGCCGCGGGGATTGCCCGGTGCCGCGATGGTTCGAGGCGTTGGGTCTGTATGGCACTCAGCACTGTACCGTGGCGTGGCGCGCCGCCCCTCCTAGCGCCGGGAGGACGAGGGGACCACGAGCGGCGGCGGCGGGGCCTCGACGGCCTTCCAGACCGAGGAAAGGATCCACGACGGCCCGACGATCCGCTTCGCCCCCAGCTCGCCGGCGGTCTCCTCGTCGGTGTCCCCCGAGAGCCGGTGGAACCGCACCGAGGCGACCTCGCCCTCCAGGGCGGCGTCGCCCTCGTGCCTCCGGGGGACCGGGCAGCTCGACACCTCGGTGCCGCGGGGTCCTTCGTCCGAGAACGAGGCACCGATCGATTCCAGCGCCTCCTCCAGCAGCCGGGGTGGGACCGCGGCATCCAGCGCCGCGTACTCGAGCTGCCTCGGCGTCAGGTCCCGGACCGCCCAATCGGTCATTTCTGTGGGGTTGGTTGCGTTGGTGCGCACGCCAAAAGCGACAAGAAGGGAAAACGGCGGGTGGAACGGTGAGTGCCAGCGGGTTTTGGAGCCGAGACAGACGGGGGTTTTCTCCGAGGAATTTCCTTTTTTAATCAAGAACGGTGGCAGCATTATACTCACGGTGTTCCTTGTCCAGTGCCATGCCAAGATAATGAGATGTCATGGCTGCAAGGGACATGGTGATATAACGACTTTTCTTTTGCTTGGATATGCGAAGGACTCTCTTTATGAAAGACGAGATTTCGAGAATCGAGTGAACTTCTTGGAAGCAAGGAAGATGGGGGTAGCTCGCAAAAATCCTTCGCAGATCCGAGGAGAGCTGGTATCCGACCTTGATGAACCGGTTCGACTTCATCAGCTTCGACAAGCACTCCGAAAGCTCCCCTTCTAGCTGATTGAAGGGTGTATCGCTCTCCTCGAGTGGCCGCAGCAAGGCTTGTAGATCCAGGATGTACACCCTTTCGAGTGCGTGCAAACTAACCTGCAGCAACAACACCGGTTGGGGCTGTTTTTTGTCTTCCATGAATTCACGGGGTTGCCATTCGCAATCGATTCCAACGTAGGGCGATAGAGAGGGCCGATCGCCCACTTCCGAGAGAAGCTTGGCGATATCGCTGGAAAATTCAGAGATGGAGCGAGCGTCATCAACAAACTTTATGGACGAGTTGCCTTGGTATATGTCGCTGAGCGTGAGAGTCGGTAACGAAGAAGAGGACCCCGTCTTTTTCGGCTTTCTACCAGTTTGCAATCCTCCTTTGTCGAAAGAATCGCCGTACGAACGCGAACCGCAAGATAAAAGTTGGCAATTCATCGGGACCAGCTCCAAACAATTGGTGTCGATCCATTTCTCTATAGACTCTCGCTGCCCCGGGTTTGTTTTGGCTTCGATCTGTACCAGTTGGCCTTCTTGGACTTCCTCGATCAACGCCTCTCCTAGCTTTGTCCCATACGATTGTAGAAAAAACTTGCCAAAGATCAGATCGACCGCCATATCTTTGCCGGATACAGCAGACCTCCACGGGTGGGAGACTTCGTTGTCGTTGGTCTCGTCGTTTCTAGACATTTCTCTCACAGTTGGCAAGAATTCGCACCTCAGAGATCGTTTTGTCCTCACGTTAATGGTTCCTATTCTGCCCATGACTGTCAGGAAGACAGGAGTCAACGGATTCGAAATCTCTTTCTGTCGAATGACAAGTCGTGCTATATTGAGGGATGGGCCGTCAATAGGAAAATAAGGCTTCGGGTAAAACGGATCAAGAGAGTTTGACGGCGTTCTACTCGGAGTAGTAGGAATTTTCTTTTCATCTTTGTCGCTCGATGAAACTTCCCAAACTCTTTTGTCGCTTCCTTCGTGTCGGTTGTCATCGTATGTAATACCACCAGCTATCATCACCTCACCAATTTCTTGCAGTCGGACAACTAACTCTGCCGCTAGCAGGGACTTCCAATAAGGATGACCTGCGCTACCCATCATAAGGAGCTTGAGTTCCTGGCAATCGTTAATTAATCGTTCGTCGAAAGCAATCGTACACGACGATACTTTAGGAGCTAGACAATGGCCGAGTGGCGGCAATGTGTCAACCGGAAAACCACAGAGATTCTGCACCACATCGGCGGGTGCCGGGACCAGATTGTTGTTGGAACAGAGAAAACGAATCTTTGAGATTCTGATTTCGGAGCTGTCTTGCACCGTGGCAATGAAGACTTCCATACTGGATGGATCATAAAAGACCTTGGTTTTGACTTTCTCGCAAGATGGGAGATCGCTTAAACCGCGAGAGATAACTTGGAAAGTATCACGAGAATCATCCATTGAGCGGAAATTCTTGTTCATCGTTTCTACCGCCGATACGAAACAATCCAATGATTTCAGTGCGCTTTCCCCGTTATCATCTACCCTATCCATCCAAAGAGCAGTCGGAGGGATTCCGTTCACATGCTTTGTATTCGGAGCACATTTCTGAAAAGTATATGGAACAAAGAAGGATGTCGTCATCCGAAGGACGATGAAAATGAAAACGTACTCGATTCTCATTATGCTCTGTAACCCTTTCCCTTTCCCTCGCCCTCTACTTTTTCCCTACTTCTTTCTCGTTGCCGGTGGTGGAGGTGATGCGCTTCCTGTAATGATGTTGATTTTTTTGATTGGCAACATGTACGCACACCACGACAATGGCAAAATCGATTTTTTCAACGTCAAGCAATCCAGAAGGCAACAATCATGGCTCGGAAAAATAGGAACAGAAACAACCTAGTGGAAACTACATGAGTACCCTGCGTACATACCTCGTATCAGCGGCACTTTACTTGTACTCGTACGGTTGCGAATAGGGTTAGCACAGTATTTTTTATTTTTAATACCTACTCGGTCGTTCTTCAGGTTTAAAATCCGACGAATCTGAGAAACCATCTACCGATAATGGCAGGCAGGCAGACAGACAGACCAGCGTTTCTCAGGGGTGGACAGCTACTACTACTAGTACAATGGACATAACAGTAATAAGTAATACTAAATACTACTACTGGTAAAGAAGACTCAATTCCTACTGGTACTACTAGTAGCTAGTGTATAAAGTGGGCCTTCCAGTAGGGACAATAGGAAACAGAGTAATTCCATTGCATTCCACATACTGGAAGCTACTAGTATCAGATCCCATACTAGTAGTACTACGTCACACAAACCGGTACTATGGTACGTTGTTTTTCCTGGGTACATAAAATAAAATTTGCGCATGTATTTTGTGATCTGGTCGTTTTCCTTGGAACATGTTCTGGTACCACTCATTTCTCATGTGGAGTTCGATGCCCTTTCTCATGCTCGAAATCAATTCTTTTTCAAAGAAAATATTATCGTATTCGGAGACGAATTGTCTCAACCGTTCAAAAAGTATCTCAATCATTCAAAAAGTACCATGTGTCGTCACGAAAATATTTTTTCTACTTCATCAATTCTGCAGGTCGGTTTTCAATTCCTCTTTCCTTATGCCAACTCTTTGGAGCCCAGCGACAATTTCTATATTTCTGTCGACAAATTTATTTCACAATGAAGCTTTTTTACTATCTAACCGCAAGGGATTAATTTCTAAATGTTTCATGCTGCTATTGTCATTATTTTCGTATCCACTATGTTTCGTTATGATTACTAATGCCGGGGTTCTCGTACAGCCCGTATCTTTGACTTCAGCTCATTTAAGTCATCATTGTCCTCCCAGTATTTTTTCTGATTGAAATTTTTCTCCATTTTGCGCAACTTTCTTTTTTTATTAATTCTATCCTCCCTGTCATCTCTGTTTTCTCTTCTGTATGCTGCCCTTAGTTCTTGTTCAATCTCAGCTGAAGCCTCTTCC